CGATTTCGAGGTCAGATTCGAATCAGACTTAACTTTATCAATTGAATTTAAGTTGTTCTCTCAATCTTCCCATTTCTCTATTCTCAGTTAGCGATCAGCATAGACTTTGATTACATAGATAATATAGATTATACCCCACCTAACGGCTGAGGGTATAACATCAATGATGGGTTTTCAATTTTTGTCGTTAACTGTGGGTCATCCAATGGGTATTTTTCTGTCATCAAGAAATAGAGGTCTGGTCACACTTTTGTTTATCTGAACCCAAAGGCTTACCAAGAAACAAAAGTATGCTTGAAATTCTTTCAAATTATTCGAAAATTTCCGCGGTAGGAGAAATTTAACTCTTCAGAATAATCGTAAGCGTAAGAACAAGTCATGAAACTAAAAGAAAGTCCTGAAAAAATTCTTCTAATCCAGAAAGAAATATAAAACAAACCAACGTATCTGAAAAGCATACAATACCAGCAATATAGATTTAAGGTCAATGACAAAAAGAGCTAAGGAAAGGATTTTACTGGATTATAATCGATTACAATGGATTTTGATGCATAAGAAAAAGAAGAGAAATCGTAATAAAAAACAATCGATTGTAATCAATCATAATCGATTATAATTGAATGGAAAAAGAGATGATCAATAGTTGATTATCATTGATTAAGATGTATTACAATTGATGAAATTTCGTTTTTCAAAATAAACGACGTATATTAGTCAAGCGTCAAAATATGAACACTGAATATGGTGTTCAAGGTGCAAAAGATTTTTAAAATGCCATGTTTTTGCAGCTTACTTGGTATTATCGCAAAGTATTTGATAAGCGAATTATTTTTTAAAAATGAAAATCCAGCCGTCTCGGATTTTTTTTTCTTCATCCAGTTCTTGAATGAAAATTAGTAGACTTAATTGTGACTTAGTTTTAGGCCTGGATTTTGCAGAGTTTGTCAGTTAATTGGAAGGTTTAGCAATCAAATGGGAATAATTCGCTAGGCCTCGAGTTTTGTTTCGAGCTTTTGTAACAATTTATGAAGAAAAGACAAAAAAATTGGGCTCGGGTTATTTTTTTTTCAGAAAAATTTTGGCTGCTTACGCAAATAATGTTTACGCAAATAATGTCGGATTTTTTTTCTTCATAATGTTTACGCAAATAATGTTTACGCAAATAATGTCGGATTTTTTTTTTTGATCCAGTTCTTGAATGAAAATTAGTAAACTTAATTGTGACTTAGTTGTAAGCCTGGATTTTGCAGAGTTTGTCAGTTAATTGGAAGGTTTTGCAATCAAAGTGCATAATTCGCTAGGCCTCGAGTTTTATTTCGAGCTTTTGTAGCAATTTATGAAGAAAAGACAAAAAAATTGGGCTCGGGTTATTTTTTTTTCAGAAAAATTTTGGCTGTTTACCCAAATAATGTTGTCAATCGTCTTAATGATATTGATATGCTGATTTCAACTTTGAAAAATTGAATTCAGCTCATCATTTAGAGATTAAGAAACGCCAGATTGCAATTTTGAGAGGATGAACGCGCGATATAATTTACACCTTCACTGCGTGCGCGGTGATTTAATTCTGCTCAGAAGTCATTCAAAAAAGTACGTGGCATGCCTGTTGAGCTAAGCATTAGTGCTAAAAGCGAACTGCCTGTATCATGATGCGCTGGCGGCTCCGATGGCCATTTAAAATCTATGGAAGAGATTTGAGTTTCAGACTATTGACTTTTTTGGTTTTTTAAAAATCTTTCAACATACACCTCATAGAGTAATACAGCAATTTCTTTTTGGAGCAATTTCTGAGCCGGTAATCCTTTTGCAGTTTACGCATTGTAGCACTAAAAAGCTTTCCAACAAAAAGGCAATTTTAACACCTTTAACTACAGAAAAAAATCAGTGTTGGTCAACTCAAATGGTAGAAAAAAATCCGCAGAATTGGATTGTTAGATTTTGTCGGGAAAAAAATCGACCGAGCTCAGATCGTTTTTTAAAAATTTTCTGATCACTTTTTTGTTTCGAAATGAAATTGTGTTAGCGATGTGATTTAGTTCAATAAGTTGTGATTTAGTTCGACTTGAGGTCTTTTCAAGAAGTATGCGGCATGCTCGTTCAGCTAAGTAATAACTTATGGTGCAGTAATTTGTTTCTGTTTTGTTATGATTGTCTTTTTTCGTGTTTCTCCTTTTGATCCAATATATCCTATTGTTTGTCTGTGTGGTGTGATTACAAGGTCGTATCTTTCTTTTTTAATTAAACAATTACGTAATACGATTGTTTATTTGTTACCTAGATTATCTCTTGACATAAGGTTTAGGATGATGGATGCAATATTTGGATTAGAGGTTTCTAATTTCTTAAACTTTTAGTCCTTACGCGTTTTGAGTGACTATCTTATCTTGTGGCATAGGTTGTCGTGGTTTGACGGGTTGAAGAGAGAGTATTTTATCGGTTCGTGTCGTGAGAATGATTTGTTACTTTCTCGTGACTAAGTTCTAATTTAAGGTAGACTTAACTAGTCTTACTTAGCGTTTGTGATTTGTGATCGAGGGTTGGAGAACAGTAAATCAATCCACAAGTTTCAGGCATAATTAGAACGTGAGTAGATCGTTGGGGACTATTTTATGACTCACTAAGTTTAAGTGTTTTAGCCTGTGTCATCTAAGAGGAAGGGCTCAAGTAAGTGAGGAATGAGTAACCGAAGTTCTCCACCGTTTATCTTAATTAAAATGGTTAATTATTTCAGAAATTTCTATTGGTCCTGGGTTGTTGATAAGGGTTGGGTAGTGAATCGACGTAGTTGAAGTCGTTAGACACTTTAAAAATATGGGGGGGGTGAGATCAAAATTGTTCCATAATGATCAGAATTTAAGGAAATTTAATTTAAGTGACTTTTAAGATCCAAGGAAAGCCTTGATGATCTGTTATTTAAGCTAAAATGATTTAAGTGAAAACAAGGATAAGCCTTGATAAGATTTAATGTAAAAGTTCAAGTTTTTAAGGTTTAAGATTAAAGTTTAGATTATGTTAGCTTTTTGTATTTTGCTGTTATTTTTTAGGTGATGAAGCTGGGATGAAGAAATGATATGACAGATTATTCAAACTAACAATGATTTTTTATTTTAACTAATTTTCGTGTTTTTATTCAATGAATTATTTTATTCAAAATGTTTTGATTTACTGCAGATTTTTTTGGAGGGAACGACTTGTGTTGTTTTTATCAGTCGTTATTGTATAAATAGTAGGTTTAGCACCTTTGATGTTGCTTAAGGATTTCTTCAAATTTTATGTCAATAAATGAAAATCTAAATTTACTGCGGAAAGGATTCTAAATACATAGGTTTGTTCCGGTTTCCGTCGCACTATTATGAAATGAATCGGTAGATTTATTCCTAATCCTAGATCGTGCCTTGTCCTAGGTCTTCTCGCAAAACCTGGTATTTCTCTGGTTTTGTTTGGAAAATTGGCGGTGATCTATTGAGTCGGAGAAAAATTTCTAATAAATTGTCTATTTCACGTAACATTTTTGCAATTTTGCAGTTGTCTAATTCTAAAATCTATTGTTTCTAAATCTAAGTTAGTTAAGGTCTTGTTCGGGTTTTTTTGGTCGCACCAAATGAGTTATGTGCTTTTGACTGTACTCATAGAGAATTTTCAGATAAGATACACCGTCTGCTCGTCACGCTATCTTATTTTCGGCCGGATAGATTCGTGCAACTTCTTATTCTAGTACCGATCTTAATATTACTCTGATATCTTCTAGTCTCAATAGATCTAGTGTATACTGGTTTATGTGAGTTAGTTTCCAGAAGGAGAACAACCGTATTCTAAGTTTAATTCAAATTGCTCCGGTGCTGAAACTACAAGTAGTTTAGCGCTTACAAATAAGTGTAAATGTTAGGTATGGAATATGATTGGTTAGTTAAGAATAATTTATAGAGTTAGAGAATTACACTTATAACCAATTATAAATTCTAGTTTAGAACTGGTTCCAATGAGAATCGATTATATTGACAATGTTTTAGAGCACAAAAATCATTTTTTTTTTCACTTTTTTTAGATGCGGGTGGGTTCAGCACGAGTTGAAAGAACTTTATGTTCTAAATTTAAACTTCTTTCAACTTCTTTCGATTGAAAACTTTTTTAAACATTTTTTGAACATCTTGCCTTTTATGAAAAAATGGTTATCGTACAATTTTTACATATATACAAATTGTATGCATTTTTTTAGCTTCAAATTAAATTTTAGTTTTTGATGAGCAATGTCCTTTAAATTGAGCACAAGCACTCTTAAATAATTTAAATTTGTTTTTTAACAAGTTTGAACAATTTCTAAAAATCTTGCCTTTCATGAAAAAATGGTTATCATACAATTTTCATGTATGGAAATTGTATGATAACCATTTTTTTCAAAAAAATTAACGTAGTTATTTTTCATCACCAGACTGTTGTATTTGGTTCAAATAGCCGGAGAAACTAGATTGAATCTTTTTTAAATGGTTTTTTGAAATTGTATTAAAATTGTGTGACTAGCATTTTTCCATACATTTGATGCAGGCAATTGTATGATAAGCTTTTTCGGTGTGGGGAAATGTAAGATAAGCATTTTCGGTTTATGGAGGCCAACCCGGGGTCACATTACCTTTCCAGGCTTTTTTGTTTGGTTTTAATCGGTTTTCTTTAATATACCGCTCAAAAACCGCTTAAAAACCGCTCAAATCTTGCTTGAAAAACCGTTCAAAAATCACCGCAAGAAATGAACGGTTTTTGAGCAATTTTTTTAAGCAAGATTTGAGCGGTTTGAGCGGTTTTTCCAAAAAAACCGCCCAAACTGCTCAAATCTTTCTGAAAAACCGCTCAAATCGCTCATATCTTGAGCGGTTTTTGAGCGGGATCTCGACCCGGGGGACAATTATGCTTCAAAAAGGTAAAAAAAAAGAAAACAACACATGTTGGTCTTGTGGTAGGAAGTGGCTTCAGCTAGAAAAGTTTACGCGTTTTTCTATTCCACCTACTCGTAAGCTAGTCTGAGATTGCGAACAGATTGGGGGTCGAACTGGACCAGTGATAACTGAGACAGAAGGGAGTCCATCTTTTCCATACTCTCAACACGACCATTGCTCAGCTCTGAAACACCAAAAAAGTGTTATTTGATCATGTATTTTTGTACAATTCCTGCAATCATGACATCTACATATACGTAATGTCTCCCCTCAGTATACTGTATGCAGGCGCCGTTAAGTATTTTGTGAATGTCAAAAAATTGGGAGATTTGATTTTTCTCAATACAGGGTCAATTATTATGTGAATGTGTACAACTTACGAGACACTTATTTCAATTATGAGCAACCTGAGCAGTTTTGTTGGGCGTGGAGGACAGAGGAGAATATGTGGTGCAGTCTGTTCACCTCCCTCTCACACAGGTCGTTGTACCTGTTCACCACTGACTCACACTTGCTCACTGTGCGTCCAATGGCCTCATCATACAACTCCTACTCATAACACACACACACAACATCTTCTACAGTTGTTATAGCTAGGTCTGTGTGTCTGCAGCTAAAACGACTCTGAGATCGGTTTTGAGAAAGGAGCACCCCTCTGCGGAGGCTATACTTATCTCCGCCATTTAGCTGGCGTGCAATCCAGAGACAAGGAGTTGAAAACGGATCCCTAAGATCCAATGCTCATCTCCCTCCCAGTTCTTCTTTTATTCAAGTGCCATTGTGTAAATTTGTGTATTTTCTCAAAACAACTTTTACCTGGCACTAACAAAAATAGATTGAGATCATGAAAAAGTATACAGATTATTTGAGATCGATTTGAGTTTTAAAAGAGTACGCTGATTAAAATTTAAAAAATCAGATCGATTTACAATGATTTAAAATCTACATTTAAAAAAATGATCCCATTCGATTTGGATTGATCTTAAATCTGAGCAAAAAATTGCTCCAAATCGATTTTAAATTGATTTAAATCGATTTTTGAGCTTGATTTTTTTCTTCAAATTTTCTAATGACGTGAAAAAATTTGAAACATTTTGTTACGTGTCGTTACAAATACCACAATTGACTAAATTACCTGCACAACGTACCAAATGGCCTAAATTGCCTTGAAAACATCAATGAGGATCGGTTTTAGAAGTTTTGACCAAAAAATTGCGCTTTTTCGGAGCGCGCTCCCATTAAAAGTAGTATATAAGGGCGCCAAAGGCGCCTTAAGAAAAACTATTCGATCCCCTCACCACCTAAAGGGCAGAAAAATCATGCGCCGTGGGGTCAAGCAAGGGCCCTTTTGGTTGGTGAGGGGGTCGAATACCTGAGGGAGCTGGCATCCCCCCGCCAAAAAATTGAAACCCCCTGGGATGGATCAACCATAAAATTTTCTTCTTCTCCCTCTATGTGCTCTACCCTGAACGCCCGGGTCGAGATCCCGCTCAAAAACCGCTCAAGATATGAGCAGTTTGAGCGGCTTTTCAGCAAGATTTGAGCAGTTTGAGCGGTTTGGGCGTTTTTTTTGGAAAAACCGCTCAAAACGCTCAAATCTTGCTTAAAAAACCGCTCAAAAACCGCTCATTTCTTGCGGTGATTTTTGAACGGTTTCTCAATAAAGAAAACCGATTAAAACCAACAAAAAGGACTGGAAAGTAATGTGACCCCGGGTTGACCTCCATAAACCGAAAATGCTCATTTTAAATTTTCCCACATCGAAAAAGCTTATCATACAATTGCCTGCATCAAATGTATGGAAAAATGCTACTCATACAATTTTCATACAATTTCAAAAAAAAACATTGAAAAAAGATTCAATCTAGTTTCTCCAGCTATTTGAACCAAATATAACAGTCTGGTGATGAAAAATAACTACGTTTATTTTTTTTTTCAAAAAAAAAGGTTATCATATAATTTCCATATATGGAAATTGTATGATAACTATTTTTTCATGAAAGGCAAGATTTTCAGAAATTGTTCAAACTTGTTTATAAACAAATTTAAATTATTTAAAAGTGCTTTTGCTCAAATTAAAGGATATTGCTCATCAAAGCGAAAGTTTAATCTTGCTTCAAAATGATAAACCGTTCGAAAACCGCTCAAACCGCTCATTTTGTTGCAAGGTTTTGAGCGTAATTGTCTAAAAAAACCGCTCAAACCGCTCAAATCTTGCTTCAAATTAGGTGAAAAAAATCTCGACTCGGGCGCCAAAGAAAGGGACTTGTAAGTTGTTTCGGTTGAACAACTTGATGGGGTCTTATCCAGTTTCCCAAACCCCTCGTTAAATTACGAAACAAAACAATACAAAAATTGTTCACACGGCGTTTTGCATGAAAAAACTAAAAATTTGTGCAACTGTTTACGCTGACTTGTTTTAAAGCAGCTTATACCATGAAACATTTTTTTAAATTGAATTTCATATAATTCATTTCAGAAAAAAAATCAAGCGGGGGGAAACTGGAAAAGAGCCAAAAATGGATATTTCTCCAGGGTTTCGACCCCCTGCCGATCCAAAGGGTCCACCTTTGGATCGGCAGGGGGGGTCGAAACCATCGAGAAACGGCGTCCGCCACTCCCCCACTCTTTTCCGAAATCTGCTACTGAATGAGTCTAAACAGTTTTCCTGGGAACGTTTTCAGAGCCGTATAAATCACGAATTAAGTGTGAGTTTAAATACCTAATATTTTACTTTATTCATTCTTAATTTTCCCAAAAAAGACCTCTTCCTTTTAGCAAACACTTAAGCAACATTACTTATTTAAGAATGCGCCCCGGTACAAAAGAAAGTTCCTAGATTTCATATAACTTTAGAGAAAATGCCATATTCTACATGAAGGCTTTCAATTTAGCTGAGGGGGTTAGGGTTAGGGTTGGAGTTAGGGTTTACACTCTAGAGCAGTACCAAATCATTTTGACGAGTTGATATACTACTTACCCAACCCGTTGAATCACGACACTCTCTATCGAGGATTAGGATAACCTCACGAAAACCGTAAGAACTAACAGTTCAAGAAATAGAAACTGACACCCGGATTTTGCATCAATCATCTAACACTTATGTTAAGAGATATTTTGGGAAACAAGCAAACAATAATTCTTTTTGATTGTTTATTTAAAGACGCAAGATACGATATCTTAATTATACCACAGAGACAAAAAGTAAGACATAATAGATCGAAAAAGCAAACAAAAAAGAAGGTAATACTTTCAAACAAAAAGCGGATAATAAATTCAAATTTTTCCAGAACTCGAAACGCTGTTTCGGAATTTGACTCAACAGCAATAGAAAAACATCAACGATTTTGAGACCTACTACACGACGTAAAAAATCATTAGACTAACAAAATATTTTTCGAAATCAGAAGCCACAGCAGCATCATCCATAAAACGCAAACGTAGAAAAAAAAATTACAATTTCGCAAACCGGTAAGATTATACAATTGAAACAAACCCATAAGACTTATTAAAATGTGTCATTAACCGTAATACCACAAAAAAAACTTTTTCAAAAAGACGACAACTTTGACGAAAAACTTTTTTTTTTCTTAATTGACCCAAAAGTGAGTCGTCAAGAGGACAAGTACAATTTTGTCACCACTTAATCATAAATTGTTTCCAATAGGAAATAGTACATGTAAGCTAGAATTCCCAGAAGTAAAAATCAGAAGACAAGTACTAGATCACTATCTATAAGGTATAGCTAAAATAACCTCACACTATGGTATTTTCAGGATCGAAATTCTACCAGCGAAATCATCCAATCAACCATCACACCGATTGCAAACAGATGACATAGAACTAGATTTTCCGAAAGTTTTTATAGAATATATTTAAAAAAATATGTAACAGCAAAAACTGAAAAAGCAAAATCGATCTTCAAGAATGATGTTTTTCCATCATTTTGGTTACGTTTGAATAAAAAAGCAAATGGTATCTCAAGTGCAGGAATCTCAAGTGCTAAAAATGGCATCTCAAGTGCAGGATTTGCAGCAAACCATCTCAGTACATAAAAATTATTTTAAAAAAATCCCATTAACAACCGATACCCCACCTCTAAATTACAACACAGTTTTTAAAAATAGAACAAGCAACAACAGTCTAAATTCAACATTCATAAATACGCAAAAACATTTGAATAGAACTACGAACCTGAAACAACAAGATAGCAAAAAACAATCACGTTTTTTAAAAGAAAAAAGTTTTGAAACAAATTCCACAACAACACAGCAAAGTATTACAACACCAGCCAATAATTACAATACCACATAACAAGAACAAAACTCAGTTTCAATCAACAACCATACAGTCAACAGTTAAACTATCAGTCGTTCCAAAATACTCACACATGGATTATCAAATATTTAGACAAATGACTAAAAAGCGCCCAGTTAACAAATCAAAACAAACAAAAGGCAACAACAAACCATGATTAAGGTTTTTTTTACAAAAAGAAATCAGCACTCGAATGGCACGACCACTTCCTACAAAACAAAAGCAATCTCAAGAACATCATTACAGTCAGCAAGTTGCTAAAAATCCATTATCTTAATCTGTAAATTTTATTGATAAGAGAAAATCTGAGACAAACCGCACTGATAACTATCCATTTTTTTTGACAAAACAAAAATAACAAAAAAGACAAATCACAAGAAACCAACCATACTAGTCAGAAAATGAAGATTATTTTCACCGAAACCAACAACAGTATAAAATTAACCAACATAAACACCAATGTAAGGATACAGACCAACCAGATGCTATTTATCAATCAGATGCTTTTTAACCCTACATGAATCCACAAGGACAAAAAGAAAAAGTTAGGACAATTCCACTTTTTTTATAAAGCCCAATAAAAAATTTTCAGCCACCAGTCCAACTTTCAGCCATCAGATTTTCATTTGATTCAGGAGCAGAATCAAATTTTTTTAACGTTCATACATGGATTGAAAATCAATCAGCACACCGCGAATTTCCCTTTTCCAAAAATTCAAGTAAACTAGACACAGCACAAGGCACAACTTAAACAAACTATGGCAAAATTAGATTATTCCGATACCAACACAAACGATGGAACAAAATAATTTTCTTATAGAATCCTTGAAGCAACTATTTCACTTAACATACATTAAAAACAACATAATAAGAAAAATAATTTTTACAAAATATATACCAACAGTTAATCTTCTAATTAGTAATTTACAAATCGAAGATAAATACACAGAAGCAAAGAAAACCTAAGACACATTTTTCTAAAAAACCTAAGACACAGCCCCGTTCTTTTAAAAATTTTACCCCCTTCACAACCAACAACGAACACATTTAAAACCAGTATCTGGACATGCATAGGTTTCTCAATCACCAATTTCATTAAAACAAAAATGATCAAATTACACAACAGCTGTTTATGTCTGACCTTAAATTCAGATGATTTCACAAATTCTTTAGTTTAACAAAATCGTATTTAAGTTATGCAAAAAAAACACAAACAAAGGCGCAAACAGAAC